GTTATTAGTTATTAGTAATAACAAGACTGATACCACTTCTCTGTCTGGCACCTGGTGAAACTTCCATTTATGTTGAAAAAAATGACACTTCTCTGAGAGATGTGGTTCAAATATTCCTTCTTTAAAAGCTGACTGAAGAAATCCTAATTTTAAGATTACTTTCACAGATAGAAAGTCATGAATTCATTACTTTAAGATATAATCAGCTTGAAAAGCTCCTTTGGATCCTTAAATTTAAAGATTTTTTTTTTTATGGTTTCCCATGGAAAATAATTCCTGTGCAAAGTGGAAAATCTGCCCTTCACTTTGACTGGTTCTCTAGGTCAGAAAGTTTGAGTGATTTTTGACTGTTTTAACTTACATTTTTGGCTTCAATTTTTCTTAGGAAAATAAAGCATAATTAATGTGCCCTTTTTTTAAAGTGTATCATAAGGCAAGCTGGGGAGTTGGCTCTATAGGGTACAAGCACGTTTTGGCAGTAGTCTGTTGAAACCTGGTAGTTTTCTTCTCCTCTGCCCATTGGAGGGAAAATATGAAAAACCGTGATCTTGTATTAGTTTTTGCTTTGCTTGACTGCTTCATAGAATTTTTCCTTTGTTTTGTTTTACTGCTACCGTATTAGGCAGTTTTGCTAAAACATGCTTTGAAGAGATCCCAGTAGATTACTGTTATGCAGTCCTCCATCATGCCTGGTTGTTTCTGATGCTAATGATCTGACATCACTGCAGAGACCTGCTTAATGACCGTTTTTCATTTTAACCCACTTAAACGCATGGTTGCAATATCTAATCTTAAAAAAGTATATCGGAGTGTCAGTGGAATGAAACACCTGATTAAATGGAAAATAACTACTTCCTTTCTTAAAGAGACCTCCGGTTTTGTATCGCTTCAGGAAATGCATCTCAGTGTACAACAACATTTCCAAAAGTGTGTAATGCCATCCCTATCCCCATGGAAGAGGGAGATGGGACTATATATAAAAGATTAAAAATGAAGATGCGTGGGCCTTTAATAACATATGTTGGTCTTGTGCGATTGGTTTTATTTACAAGAAGTGAGGGTTCAGCTTTCAAACTCTGAAATTCTGCTGTAGATGATGACAAAATTTAATTGACCTGGATTGTAGAAATTCACTTTATTATCCTTGCAAGTTTAATATTTTAAATGTTGCTATTTCA